GATACTTAACTCACTTATAAACGTTATATCATCACAGACATAATATTCCAGCCTCTTGATTACTGACTCTCATATCAACTGAAAAGTTTGCAAAAATTCGTTAAGAAGGTAAGCAATAATATTAATTTAATAATAATATTATTTATAATAATAATTTTATATTTATATATTAATAGAAAAAGAAAATATGTCAGAATCTCTTTTACGAATAGCATTTCCAACGTAAAAAAAATGACATTTGAGGCTCGGACATCAGTGATAATATGTTTATGTCCTCTTTCTTTTTGTTTTTTTGCTACACGTCCTAAAAAAAAAAGAAGTTGCAAAATTAAATTAGGCAAGTAAAAAAGCTTGACATCAGTGTTTTTTAAATATATCATCGGCAGTCATGGCTTATCACTTAGATAACAATATTTAAGAACTCCTATTGAAAACTGACGAAACACAAATAACTTATTTTACAAATTCGGAATTATAGAGTAGATTTTAATTCAAATAATGTCTGAATATTAGATTAATCGTTTGTGATCAGCCCTGTCGAATTAACAGAGCTAGTGCACTAGCTCTTCCTTCAAGAATGACACTTGAAAGTGAAAAGGTTTTTTCTATATAGTGGAAGTAAGAAAAAAGGTATTTTACGACATAATTTTCTTTCATATGTAATTATATATTCGCTACGCTCACTCGTGAGAGATCTTTTCAACACTCGAAGATAAAATCCGTATCTCCGCGCGCCCATGTAATATCCTCTATATCTCACATGGTAAATTTACAACGTTAAATGGCGTAAAGGAAAAAAGAGGTTTGAGTGTAATTAATTTATTGTATATGATGTTTTGAGACACTAAACCAGCAAAACAGGCATGTTAGATGATTTTGTTCAATGTATACTCCTAAAATCTTGATGTACTACAATGGAGCTGTTCTTAGCGGTTCGTTATTCTTTGTGTTTTCTTCTTAAGCTTCCTACAACTATATTAACGCCACAGGTGTAATAGCGAATTGGGAAAGGTCAAACGATTGTTTACCCAAAATAAAATAGAAAATATCCATTAAACCATGAGGTGGTCTATTCATAAAATGATGATGTCAAATATTTTTTGAAATTAGCTCTTTGGAAGTAAAAGTCAAGACCAGATGCACCCTTTTACTAAAATCAAACTGTCAATTTTTGACAGGCGTTTTACAGAAAAAAAGCCAGCAAAGAGCACRTTTTTAATATCAGATTACCAGTTCGAAAACTCATCAGTAATTTCTCTTCTTTGTAGTTTTCCTTTTTAAGTTATTTTATTGTTTTTGCACGTTGGAAGTCAAAGCAACCTGTGCGGGCTGTCTAAGAGTTGATCGTCGTAGTTGTCCAACGCAAAAACACTGATAAATGATTCAATTACAGTCAAAAGATATGAACCCCCCGAATAGTTCGTTATATTCAATGCATTATAATATGGTTGAATAAAATTGTGCAATTTGATTGGCTTAGAGGAGTGGTATTTATCCTTAATAGTGGTATTTCAAATTTCACAATTTTCTTCAACCATTTTATAAACAAATAGTAATAGCATGTTTTGTACGTGGAATTTGGGATAAATACCACTTGTGATATTTCAAAATTTGTCGCTTCTTCGCTCGTGAAATTTTGTTTGACAATTTTGAAACATCGCGCGTGGTATGTATCCCAAATACCACTACAAAACATGCTATTACCGATACTTATTGGATGTTTCGTTTTCAAACTTCAGTTGTGATTAATGCAAAAGTAAATTCAAATCTCGAACTCTGATAATGACAGAAAACAGCACAGCTTTTTTAAACCGTCATTCCTTTCTCACGAGAAGGAACAGATCGAACCAAATTAACAGACAGCATATTGCAATGCATCGACTTGTGGAAATTACAAAAGACCAGCATGTTGACAAGCKAAATACGAAGAAGGCTTTATGAAAATCCGATCAATAATCCAATCAAATTTCGAAGTTTTGAATTCAAATTTGATTTCAATAATGTTATGTTGAATCGACCAAGAATCAAATAATAAATTGAATAATGGTGTTTTGAGGGGGCGCGCTTCATGTCTTTTGACTGTAATGCACATGTGAAAATCGGATTTAGACACAAATTTTAGAATCGAGGCGAGTGAGCTAAAAAAATGAAAAAAATGCGCTTGCTGTCAAGGTCTCTTAAACTTAAGGGATTATTAAGTACATAAAAAATGTGCTTATAAATAGTTCAAAATGATGTATAAATAAGCAATGTSGAGCGTTAAAAGGCCTTATACTTAAGACTTACGTCACTATGACATGGTGTGCGATTGCGCAGTGAACCGCCACGGAGAMTACTCAAACAAAGATAGAGAAATTCAAAATTTATGAAGCAAAACTATAGAGCACCCGTGTTTTAGGATTAGTTATCTATCTGGGAAAACTTTTCACTGCGAGTTCTGAACAAACCCAATTTCTTCCTTAGAAAGAGCTCCATTAAAAGCAAGATCACGTTTCGTTTTGTGACTACAGCTATTCCATAGCGACCATCTTGAGTTGCTAAAAAAATGCTGTTTTTGACAGCTAATTCAAAATACAATTACTTAACGCAGATAGCAAATGTTTTTATAATGCTTTGAAACATTTATCTGCAGTGAAAATGGACTTAATGTCGACAAYGTTGGCTGTAATTTTCGTCTTCTCATTGAGGGGTATCGAAGCTGACAAGTGTTCAAATACKGCGTACAGTTTACGGAACATGAAACTACAGCACAATATCATAAAAACAGAATCTGGCGTCCACGATATCYCAACATGCCTTGACAAATGTTCAACACACGGCAGTTGCCATAGTATCAACCTCAACGAAATGAAAGGAGCCTGCGAATTGAATTCAGCCAATCATTTGAGCAAACCTGAGCACATGACCTACTTTCATGGCATGGTGTATGTGAACTACTTCCTGCGACCTGTGAGTCAATGCAGCAAGGCTTATTGCAGGAAGGACGACCAGGAATGTGTGATGGACAAGGAGGGCACGGACTACAAGTGTGTTGCAAAGCAATGTCAAGGTRAGAAACATCCTGTGCTCATTGGGAAAAAAAGACCATAGAGCCCCAATATTACTATAGCACACTTATTGCTAATCAAGTGGCACTGGTTAAAAACCTTTTTGTCAATAATAATTTCTGTAAATCTTAGATATTGTAACGTTTCCTGGCAAGAATACAAGTGATAGAATCTATCTGGAAAATGCCTTTGCGTCACTACAAAATTTCACATTGGAGGCATGGATACAACTAGATCCAAAAGACGTGGATTCCGTTTCTCGACCGACGTTTTTTAGCCTCGCCACAAGCAGAAATGACAATGAGCTTGTCTTATACACAACTAAAGGCACAGGCTATGGTGTAGACATCGGAGATAAAAAAACGTAAGTATTTAATTCAACTCAACTCTACGGACATACTCTCAACAAGGACTCTTTTTCGTTATTAAAGAAAGTTTTCGACGAAAGCTCCATACATTTTCTGTTATACTTTCCCGCTATGAAATGAGTAAACATTTCTCAGAAAGATGCTTACGACGTGGGCCGGAAGTGAATTAAAAACAATAGAAAACAAAGGAATGGAATCACTCGACCAATCAGAAATTTATCGGCCGCCATTTTGAATTTCGAATCGAGAACAAGGTCTAACAGACTTCGTGCCCAGGGGTATTTTATCTGGGAGTGAGGAACGAAAGACAGAAGATAACCCCTGGGTTCTCGAGGATGTGTAAAAAAAAAGAAAACGCTAGTTTATGCCTTTAATTAGACATAGTATGTCCATAATCAATGATTAC